ATACACAAACATACTTATGTCGAATTTTATCGGGATATAATCATTTAATTATGAATTAGGTGGTATTAAGTGATTTTCAGAAATAAAATTCCGTATAACGTTTTATATATACAAAATACAGGCAAATTCCGGTATAACGAATGATATGTCAGGCCCTTTCGTTAAATCGAAATATTCGTTATATCGGAATTATTTTTTCTAGTAAATTTCTTTATTTAATGGACAAAAAACCATTCAAATTAATGTATGAAATTATTACTTCAAATTTTATTTCAAACAACTAATAACAACGCACACGTTTTTCCATTTTGAACATCTGAACGGATTGAAAAATTTGTGAAGGATTTTAGTTTTCTAACAACTTTAATTTCCTGCTATTTCCTTAACCTTATTTTATTATCTAGAAGATAGAATTAAACTCTTTTGAGGAAAAACTGAACTTGAGAATCGATAACTGAGTCTCATGCTGATAATTTCAAAACCCTGGAATATTGCGCCATATTGGGGTATCGAAATAATTTATTTTGCTGTAAAATTTTATTATTTCAATGTATCCCTTTTAAACACTATTCATATGTAAGGAAATGTAAGGAATGTAAGGAAATTTGATCGATAGGTCAGATATGTAGTATAACTAAAATTAGGAATATGGGCGACTTCTTTCATTTTTACATTATATTCTAATTGCTCAGTCAAGTTTTTGATATTAACAATATAAATACAAAATCAAAAGCTGGATTTTTTTTCTTTTTATTCGTTATATCGAGTATAAAATTTCTTAAACGTTCGCTATATAAGGTAGTTAATGTTAAAAATTTGCCTGTTCGTTATATCGGATTTTCGTTAAAGTGAGATTCGTTATACCGGGATTTGCCTGTACACATTTATGTCGTATTTTATCCCGATGACTTTGATTGTCAATGTGTGTTTAAGACATTTTCGGAAATGATCCTTATATGGAGTTGTGACCAATTATGGACCGATCAAGAAAAAATTTTGTATAATGATTTATATGTAAAAAAAATTGAAGTCGAATATTACTCCAATAGATTTATTAATTAATAAAATATGTGCGTTTAAGTGATTTTCGGAAGTGGACATTATATAGGAGCTATGACCAATTACGGGTGATTCAAATGTACGTACACAGAACATATTTTTATCAAGATAGCTTTATTTGACAATGAAATATGTAAGTTTAAATGATTTTCGGAAGAGGTCCTTAGATGGGAGCTATGACCAATAATGGACCGATCCGGGGAAAAATTGGTCCATTATTATGTACACAAAACATATTCAAGCTGAATTTTATACCGATAGCATTATTTATCAAAGTAACATATGCGTTTAAGTGATTTTCGGAAGTGGATCCTTATGGGAATTATGGTCCTATCCGAAAAAATTTCGTAGAGTGATTCATATATAGACGAAACATATTTGTGTCGAATTTTTTTGACAATTAAATATGTGCGTTTAAGTGATTTTCGGAAGTGGGCCTTATATGGGAGCTATGACTAATAATGGATGGACCGATCCGAAAAGAAATTTGGTAGAATGATTTGTATGTACATAAAACGTATTCAGCTCGCATTTATCACAAAAGCTTTATTTATCAATGAAATATGTGCGTTTAGGTGATTTTTGAAAGTGAACCTTATATGGGAGCTATGACCAATTGTGGACCGACTGAGATCTACGTTGGTAGTATGATTTCTATTCATATTATAGTTGTACGTACAAAATTTTTTGTTGATACCGATATATTTGAGGGAGTTATTAACGTTAAACTAATTTCCGGGAATATACACCTTTGTATGGGGGCTATTTGAAATATTGGATCAATTGTTATGAGTTTGAACATACTTGAAATACTCATAACTTTTTAAGTTGTAAACCGATTTTACTGATTTTCAACTCAAAAAGTGATTTTGAATATTTTTGTGTGTTACAAACATAACAGAAATAATTCATAAGTTTTTATACTTAATATAAAATGTTTTGTTTTATTTCTGTTATTCTTTTAATTATATATGTATATCATTTTAAATTCCTTTGCATAATTTTTGTTAGCTGAAAAGTTACACTCATTTGAAAAAAACACTCATTTGACTAATATATACAACTTTGACCCCCACTAACTACGGAAGTTCTTGACCGATAGAGCTAAAAATTTCATTCAAATTAATTTTTTAAGTTAGGTCACTTGAAACGAAATTAATTTATATTTTCTAAGATTTATATTTTAACAAATTGTGATTTATTATAACACAAACTTCCAAAATAGTTGAGGGCATTTGTATTTTATGTCAGATGTAAAACATACATTTTTAAAAATGCTTATTTATTATACCCTATATAACTATATATAACTTTGTCATTCCGTGTGTAACACCAAGAAATATTCATCTGAGACCCAACAAAGTATATATATTATGGGTCCTTATGAAATTTTGAGTCGATTTATCTATGTCCGTCTGTCCGTCCGCCTGTCTGTCTGTGTAAAACACGCTCACGTAAAAACGAAGTGAAATAAATTATTGAAATTTGGTCAGAATATTTTCTATTGTCCTAGGCAGTTTGGTATTGAAAATCAAAGAATGAATCAAAATTTAAAACAACTCCGAAAAAATAGGAATTTTTACACATCTGATGTAATTTTCACCAAAACTATGAAATATAATTCCATGAAAATCATCATACATTTGTTTTTACACGAGAGCTTTATTCCTGTTGAGAATTGCCGGAATCTGTCTACAATTTCTTATACCTCCCATACGAAAGTACATATTCCGGGAAAATGAGTTTATTGTTAATAAAGTTACTGTAAATTTTTTTCCGATCGGTCCATAATTGGTCATAGCTCCCATACAAGGTCCCCTCCCGAAAATCACTTAAACGCTCATAACTCATTACTTAATTAAGATATCCATATAAAATTTGGTACTAGTATTGCTCTTATATAAAAAAATGTTACTGTGAAATGTTTTTCCGATTGGTCCATAATTGGTCATAGCTCCCATACAAGGTCCCTTTCAGAAAAACACTTAAAGGCACACAACTCATTACCAAATAGAGATATCCATAAAAAATGTTGTCATAAATACTATTGTACACAGAAATATTATTTCAAAATCTTTTCACGATCGGTTCATATTTGGTCATAGCTGCCATACAAGGTTCCCTCCCGAAAATCAGTTAGACGCACATAACTCTTACCAAATATTGATATATATATATACATTTAGCACAAATATTGCTCTTATATACATAAATCACACTATAAAATTTTTTCACGATCGGTCAATATTTGGTCCATACAAGAAAATCACTTAATGCACAATATTCATTACCAAATAATTTAGCCAAAATTTTATCTATATATACATTAATGTTCCATAATTGGTCATAGCTCCCATACATGGTCCTCTTACGAAAATCTGTTAAACGCTCATTACTCATTATCAAATAAAGCTATTGATACAAAATTTTGCACAAATATTAGTTTTGTATACAAAAATTATATTTTAAGATTTTTTCACAATCGGTTCATAATGAGTGCGTTCGGTCCCATACAAGGTTCCCTTCCGAAAATCACTTAAACATACATTACTTCTTACTAAATTACGATATAGATACAAAATTTGACTGAAATATAGCTTTTATATACAGAAATGTTACTTAAAGATTTTTTACGATCGGTCCATAATTGGTCGTATCTCCCATACTAAGTCCAGCCCCGAAAATTTTAATTTCTTTAAATCTTTCACACAAATTATTAAATATCGCTAAAGCATATCTCTAAAAATATAAAAGAAAGTGGCGTTTGTATTGTTCAATAAATCTTGCAATTGTAACAGATTTAAGCTGTTTAAATCTTGGGGTTTTTCTATTTAAGACATGAGAAAACTTATTTCTACAAATAATTGATCAATTAAAAAAGTATTAATATAAAAGTAGCTGGTGGAGGGTATTTAAGATTCGGTTCAGTCGAATATAGCACTCTAACTTGTTTTGTAAAGAAGTTGTTATTGACAAAGCGATTATAAAATGTGTGCGCACAAGCCTACAGACCCAATGAATAGCCTCTTAGATACTCTAACCACGAAAGGACATTGATATGTCTGCTACGCACAGGAAAAAGTGCCCTATGTGAATTTCTTCGGATTTGAGGATGCTCCTATCAACCTTACATTGCCTATGTAAATTTTTAAAAATTATAAAATTGTCAAAGTTTTTGATCTAAATTTTTAAAAATTATAAAATTGTCAAAGTTTTTGGTCTAACACGCCGTTGAAAGCGCATCTCATATGATATCAAAATTCCATATAATTTCTTTGCTTAATATATGATAAAATGTTTAAAATGATCCTTTGACTCAGCTCAATATATGAACATATGTATGGCTTGGGAAATTGTCAATAACTTTTTTGTTTGTTCTTTTATATAAATGTTTTATACCTCGTTGGTTAAAAATTTATCCAAATGTTAAGAAAAGATAATTTAAATGGCACAATTTTTGATAAAAACTAAAGAAGTTTTATTATTTACCTAATTTTACACTTTACAATAAATTTCCGACACCGATTATCGTTAACCGGTTGACTAAAATTTAACACCAGTTAGAGTTAGATACTATTGAATTAAATAAGACCCTTTTAAGCAAAATCGATATTTTTTTATTCACCTCTAATGCACATATCGAAGTATTTTCGAAATATCATAATTTAAATTTAAACCTATAAAAGCAATAAATAAAACCAACAACTTTACCGTGTATAGAAACATACCTATGCAGCTTTTACGTGTATTTGTATATCTCGTGGGGAGAGTATATCCAGATACGTGAAAATATTTTTACATTTTAAATGTCAGCTATCACAAATTAATTTATTTATATTAAAAGTACATACATTCATATTTAATGCAATACATACATAAATACGTATCGCAGATCATTTTTTAATGTTTGGTTTGCAAATATTAATATTTTATCTAGAAAATGTTTATAACATGTAAATTCTTTTATTTTCTCAATATTTACAATCTTAAAATTATAATTAAATATTTAATTTTGTTTCCTTCATTAGTAACATTTCCGTAATTTTACCCAAATCTTTTACATTTGCCGATTTTGTAGTTATGGTGTTTTATACTTTCACGGAAACAAATTTTTTAGCACCACATTTACTTCTTCTTTTTCAATATTTAATGTGTTATATGTTATGTATAAATGAATTTGCACAATTAAAAATTAAACATACTAAAACAATTTTATATTAAATTATATGTTAATGTTATGTTGTGTCATAACTATTTAATAAAGCTGCATCAACAGGTTCCATACAACTAGGGCAAGTTAGGCTACGCATTAGCCAATCATCTATACAGTTGACATGATAAATATGCATACATGGTAAATAGCGCACAGCCTCGTCTACACAGAAATCAATCATACAAATAACGCATTCACGGGATTTTTTTGAAGAACCATCGTAGGTCCCAATAGGTAAATGTTGGATAAGACCAATACGTTTGGCGATTTTAATTTGTTCCTCTTCCGATAAAGTTGCAACTTCAGAACGTCCGATCGAGGAAGAGGGGAAAAATACTGGTTGTATTAGTTCCTAAAAGTTAAAATAAATAAAATTAATAAAAAACTTGGATAAGAGCAGGTTTTTGTGTTGGAAATTAAATGTTATATAATAATCGGATTAGTTAATCTAAGAATAAATTTAATCTAATGTTAATCCCTATTTTTATGTTTATTGATTGAGTTGGCTAAGTAGAAATATTACTTATATGCCACGACTATTTTAATTCATGATCTTATACATAACCATTAATTATTTGTATTTGACCAAATTTATTAAGTTTCTCAGGATGGTTATAAAAGCTCTGATACACGGTAGTCAGATTTTACAACGTTGTCAGTAAAATGTGCATACAAAATTTAAGGACTCTAGCTAATGCAGTTTCTGAGATATGCAACTTTTAATTCTTATTTTGGGTGTGGGCGTGGCACCTCGCCCACTTGAAATATCGAAATAAAAAGTAGCCTATAGTTAACACGGTGATGTGATTGAAGGCAAGTACATCCACGCTCGCTTACACATAGGGAGTTAAAGAAGTACATACAATTTCTCTTACAAAGAAGTTGTTTAGTAAGCTAGAATACGAACCAGGGACTTCGGTTTGTTAGCCAAATGTTCTTCACACTGCACCTCTGCTTAGCTATTTTATTGCGCATCAAATAATGGTTTTCACATACGAATTTCATTTAATTTTGTTTTCTTTTTTGTAAAACACAATTCTTAATACGCATTTAAATAAAATGCGCAAAGAAAATGACAAAGCCGATGAAGTACTTCTGTATCAGATTAAAAAAGTCATTACTATAGTACTTCTAAGTAATGCAGACGGTAAGTAGTAGTCATTGAAAAGTAAGTGGTTATGGAAGTGCAACCCATTACCGAGTTTTTGCTGGGTTATTTTGAAAAATATTCTAATAAATATATTTTATTACATAAAATATATCTATATATTCGACATATTTTACACGGCAGTTTCAAAACTAAATTTTCAGTTTTTTTAAATCTTTGTTAAACAAAAATTAGGTCAATACCTCTAATAGTTTAGCTGTACCTACGATTTGAATTCTGGAAATTTCGCGAAAAATATAAATAATTTTTTTGTAATATTTTAGAAAATATGTCCTAATTCTTTACTGTTATACATTTCAAACAAAATTTTACGGACGGCCACATTTACTAAAATTACAGGAATTTAACCTCTGAAAAATTTGAATAATATAATAATTTCCCAGATGTACGAAGTTTTGTATTAAATTCATATGGGAGATGCCAAGGTCCCATTGAAAGTTCGCCCATTTTTCTCTAAATGTTCACATGAATGTCAAAGTTTCTCATAAAAAATTTAAAATTTGAATAGCTCTAATAATTTCTCAGATATACGAAATACATACCATAAGAAATACATACCATAAGATTTTTTTCAAAAATTTTAAAAATACACAGTAAGAAATTTCAGTATTTTTTTAACTTGTTGCTTATAGTTTTTGAAAAACCGCGAATTAGTAAAATTAAAAAAAAAATTTTGAATTCTACGAGCTTGATTTATTACGGAATGCAATTAAAAAATTATAGTTTGAAGGAGTTAAATATTTATAGAGTGATGCATTTTGAAATAATGCTAAATTAATTTAAATTTAACACAAAAAGTTCACAAAACCTAAAAAAATTTTAAAATTCAGTTTAAATTGTAGGTAGTCTACTGCAACGTAAGTTCAGATAAAATGCACCGTATCATATTAAAACATCAGAAAGAATATTCATTGTAATTTTTCCCATAAAATAAACGTATTAGATTTTAGAAAAGGTAATGAAATAAAAAACATATTTTATTTCCCTCGTTTAAAAGCATTCTGTTTTATTTTTTGCAATAGATCGTATTGGGTCTATACTAGTATTAATTCCCAAACAGTACTATACCTAAATTTAAAATTAATTTTCGAAATTTTTACATTTCTTGAAGTTTTAGTTTTAAATTCAACTTATTTTACCTGTCCATCAAGATACTTTGATATTTAAGCCCCGTTTAAAACCACCAAGAACGGGTTGAATTGCCAAAGCGTGAAATATTGCTCAAAATCGGGGCCAAAAATCGGTGGATTATTGTTATCTATAAGCGGATTCAAAACTTCTTCGGCTCGAAGTCTTTTCAAGAACTAATTTTTTAAGTAATTTAGCAATGTTAAGCAATTTCTTTCACTGTTTTAAGTTTTTATTAAAGAAAACACACGTTAACATAAAGAACCGAGGAAACAGTATATTTTAATATTGGGAATATCATTTACAATTTTTACAAATTTTTAAAAATAAATACAAAACGCAGTTTAAGAAATCTCAGCTTATGTCCCCAGTGTATAACTGTGAATCGTTTCTATTATTTTTTCCAATGCGAAATTTTTTAAATACCAATAAAATACGATGGAGCAAAAAAACTTACAAACTCCATTTATCATAGGAAAGTAGACCTAAATACCTTTTATTTAAGATACAAATCATCAAATTGTAACGGGTACTTTTTGAGAAAATTTAGTTTTCACCACTATATAAAGTCGTTTCTATTATTTTTCCACCATATGTCTTGCTTGTGCAAAATTTAATTTAGCTCTAGTAATTCTCAGATATACGATTTTTTGTATTATTTTGTTTCCAAATGTTCCTTTTATGTTAATTTTCAGATTCTAGTTCTAATAGTTTCTAGATAAGCGAAATTTTTGTATTTAATGCATATGGGAGGTTCTACCCCCTCTATTGCTAGTCCGCCAATTTATTGCCCAAATATTCAAATGACTGTCAACATTCCGCCCATATGTTCATGTGGATGTCAACGATGTCCATACAAAATTTGAGGACTGTAGCTGATGTTCTGAGATATGTGATTTTAAATACTTAATATGCATGTGGGCGTGGCACTATGCCCACATGAAATTTAAATTTTATAAGTTTCAAACAGTTCCTTCCAGACATACAGTAAGACACTGTGAATATATATATATATATATATATATATATATATATATATATATAGATATATATATATATATATATGTATGTATATATATATATATATATATATATATATATATATATATATATATATATATATATATATATATATATATATATATATATATATATATATATATATATATACATATATATATATATATATATACATATATATATATATATATATACAGTGGTGGAAAAAATAATAGAAACGAATGAATAGAAAATCAAAATATACTGCTTCCTCGGTTCTTTATGTTTACGTGTGTTTTTTTTCAACGCCTGCTTGACCATATGAGCCCTGGCGGCTGAATTGGAGCCACGACTTTCAAATTTTCTTTAATAAAAAATTAAAACAGTGAAAGAAATTGTTTAACATTGTTAAATTACTTAAAAAATTAGTTCTTGAAAAGATTTCGAACCGAAGATGTTTTGAATCCGCTTATAGATAACGATAATCCACCGATTTTTGGCCCCGATTTTGAGCAATATTTCACATTTTGGCAATTCAACCCGTTCTTGACGTTTAAAAATGAACTTAAATATCAAAGTATCTTGATGGATAGGTAAAACAAGATGAATTTAAAACTAAAATTTCAAGATATGTAAAAATTTCGAAAATTAATTTCAAATTTAGGTATAGTACTGTTCAGGAATTAATACTAGTATAGACCCAATAAGATCTACTGCAAAAAATAAAACAGAATGTTTCTAAACGAGGGAAATAAAATATGTTTTTTATTTCATTACCTTTTCTAAAATCTAATACGTTTATTTTATGGAAAAAATTACAAAGAATATTCTTTCTGATGTTTTAATATGATAAGGTGCACTTTATCTGAACTTACGTTACAGTAGACTACCTAAAATTCAAACCGAATTTTAAAATTTTTTAGGTTTTGTGAACTTTTTGTAATAAATTTAACTTATTTTAGCATTATTTCACAAGTCCATCAATATGCTTTGATATTTAAGCTCCTTTTTAACCACCAAGAACAGGTCGAATTGTAAAATAGCGAAATATTGCTCGAAATTTGGCACAAAATTCTGTGGGTTGTCCTTAGCTATAAGTGAGTTCAAAACTTTTTCTTCTCGAAATCTTCTCAAAAACTAATTTTTTAGATAATTTAACCGTTAGAAGACATTTCTTTCAATATCTGAAATTTTTATTTAAGAAAACTTGAAAGTCGGGACTCTGATTCAGTTTTCAAGTTTGGAAAAAACAAAAGTTAACATAAAAATTAAAGTAAAAAGTAACTTTTATATAAAGAATTTCATTCATAATTGAAATTTTTAAAAATAAGTACAAAACGTAGTTTAAGAAATCTCATTTTTCCAATGCCATATTTATTAAATACCAATAAAGTAAAGTTATATATATATATATATATATATATATATATACTGAAAATAATTCATGCTCAACTTTACGAAAAAAAATGTCGTAACTTCTATTTTAGTAATACTTACAAAAATGTCGTGAATAATACGAAATATTATTTAATAAAACCCTTTTCTATTTTTACGAAATTACGAAAACCTTTCGTAATATTTCTTTCTTAAATTTTAGAGAAATTAAACATAATGATATTAATTATATTTCATTAAATAAAACTACAACATTTTTATAAAATTTAAGAAAAAGTATAATATAATTCACGAACTATTTTCATAAAAAAAAAATTAAATTCGTGTGGAGAATAATTTTGAACTAAAATTAGAAAAATTATTTTAAAATTAACAAACATGTTTGCATAAATTAATATTTCGTAAATTTTATCATATTTATTCAAAATTCACTTTTTTCAATTTATGCAAATTAATTTTTCCAAGATTATTTTGCATTGTACTATTGCCGGAGTCAAAGTTGGACATTTTGGTCATACATGGTTTTATTCCAATGAGTGTAACCTATTGGTCCTAGAAAAAATTGTCCACGGGAGTTCAGATAGGTATTTCTTTATTCTTTCCAAAAATATTTTTTTTTAATTTAAAATCTTTATACCCACCATCAAAAAAGATGGAGGGTA